AAGGCTAAATACAGTTTCTTTGACCAGTCTAGGTCCATATCAACTAAAGAAAGACAAAAACAAGCTACTTGAATCCAGAATGAAATTGAAGCGATGACTTTATGCCTTTTAGCTAAAAGTCAGTGCTGATTGTATCTTCATGTATTGCTAGAGGGGATTACCAGTCTCGCAAACTTATTCATTGCAGTAGGTCTTTCAAGATTTTTTGTTAGCCAGTTCTGCATCTGTGTTAAATCAATATCACAAATGATGTATGCTGTGGGCTACTTAGGAGGGGGTTGGCGGGCGGGGGAGAAGAAAAAAAAAGGCACCTTATTGCTTTTAGTGCTAATGGTACATTCATTATGCTGAACCATAAATCTGTTTTGCCTGATACTGTTCTTAGGCATCAATAACCCATGGCTTGCAGTTCAAGGTACTACCACTACAATTTCTAGAAATGTTCTGATTTTATCTCCAAAACTAAGTGTGGTTTGTTTCTTGCCCGTCAGCTCATAAGAGCTAGTTTAGCAAGATGCTGAAAATAATTAAACTCTAAATTCAACATTCTGGGATCATTGACAGATGAAAATTCAACAGTAAAGCCTGCCAGTACTAATTATTTTCGGTTGATAAAGATCATTCATTTACTCAAAATAAATAGACATATTTATCAAATGCTTAATTAACTGCTTTTTCATCTTAACTTTTTTCTTTCCTCTATTTTTGCCATTCTATTTTAGTATTAATATGCAAAACAGCAGATGTTTTCTTATGAGATAAGTACAAAAATAGTGGCTTGGCACTCTTAGAGGTATAATAGGCAATCCTCTAAATCTTACAAAAAATCTGGGAAAGAAATTAAAAAGACTATTGTAGCTAGTTTTATTGTAGAGGAAAAGATGTCAAAGAGAAGTGAAAGACCAGTCTATGAATATTAAGATTACTGTGACCTTGACCTATTCAATGTTCATAGTTCAATTGTAGAAAGATGTTATGCTTATTGGATTATAATTTTTCAGTTATTTTTTAGGATAATATATATTGCTATAAGTCAGGAACTGCATGTGAGTACAAAATCAGTGATACTTATCTGAGGAGTATCCACTGAATTTGAGAATTCAGTGTTCATCTATCATTGCTGGAATAAGTCATCATTTGGAGGAAAATTCTTGCAAATATGTAGAATACTACATATTGCAAGAATACACATTCTTGCAAATATGTAGAATACTAAATACTGTGAAATACTAAGGAAAGGAGACTTGAAAACACTGACACATCTTAACCATACATCTAAACCATATGATTTCAGATGTTTGGAAATATAAATACTTTTAGAATGCTCTTTAATTCAGTTGCAACTTTGATAAGGTATCATCTAAGAGTAAAAGAATATTTAGAAATATACTTCTGCCTATTTGAATGTTGGCATCAATCAGAAGCCAGGAAGTTTAGTCAACTAAGGGAGAAGAATGTTCTTCTTTGGCTAGTCATCCAGTGATCTTCATAGTGATATGACTGAGTAAAATAATAAAAAAGTATATGTAAACTGAGGTCTTGAGCTGTCAGACAATACTTAAAAATCAAAACCTTTTGCTACTTGTTTCAAAAAGGAGTTATGTGGTATGAATTTATTGGTTTTGCTTACAGAAGTACCACATGCAAAGTTTTCAGAGGGAGTAAAGGACTCCTGTATGGAATCCCTCTCCTTCCCCATTTATATGAGTATGTGTTATCAGGTCTGAATACAAGGATTTATTTTTTGAAGACTTTGAGCCACTGTTTACACATTTCAGCATGAATCACTTGTGCAGGTTGTTCAGGAACACAAGGGATAAATCATTTTGAGAAAAGAAAGAAAGGTCAGAGAAGGATGGAAAAAAAACAAAAACCTGCACCTCAAGATATTGTAGTTCTCTCTCCAGTCAGTGATACCAGAACATTTTAATGTTTTAGCAGATCCCAAATGGAATCTAGCTTAGTATGAGCTAACCTCAAGTAATGATTTATTTATGTGGAAGGCATCTTAAGAGCAAGGTGTCTAAAAAAAATTGTCCTGTTTACTCAAGGTTGTTGGCGAGAGTAGTATCTATGAGATACTGCTTCCTTCATTTCACCATGGAATAGAAAAGACCTTATTGAAATAAACTCAGCCAGTAAGGATAATTTAGTGATAAACACTGTAAACTTCTACTGCCAGATTTTCCATAAAAGAAAAATTCGAAAACTTTTTTCATAGGCTTACAGTCTTCCGTAAAAAAATGATTGGCATTAGCTTCATAACACATGTGTAGGAGAAGAACTCCTCATTAAACCCCCAAATATGCCTATTTTCATCTCCCTCCTTGTGCAAAGGGGTCATTTAGTCTATTCTTCTTTTCCAATCAGCAGCTTTGTTCTACAGTCGTTTGCAAAAAAATACAATTTTTAAAAGACATTTTTTCAAACTGCATTTACTTTTTTTACTTTGACAGAAATCTTTCTATCTGCTGTGGTATCAGAATAATTAATTTGCTAGTTGAGTGCGATATAAACTTGACTTACTTTCTTACCGCTGTCAAGCAGTCAACATTACTACTCACATTACCAGTGCAGCTGGCTCAGAAATGATCTTTCGCTGAGAGTCCTACACGTCAGCAATTTCTGTATCAATTTGTGTTAAGATAGTCTTGAGTTGCCAGGAGATCAGGCCAAGTTCATGTACAGGAAAAATGCTTATAAGAATTGTTGTAAACGGAAAAGCTCTGTGGCTCAATGGAAGAGCAAGGTGGCTAGTACCTAGGAGAAGTAAACAGTTTTTATACTCCAGACAAAAGTTATGGCTCTCAGGTGTATTTTGAACAACAATAGCTTAATGTTGGTAAATTATTACATTGTATTTATGTGTCCTCATGACAACAGACTTTGATGAGGCAGTCGTTCTGCAATTGGGTATACAGTTTATAGGGAGTATCATAGAAAAGAAGACTGGAAAAGCTTTGAAGGAATATCTAGTTCATCATTTTGCCCAAAGATGGAATCAGCTGCATCAAACTTAGACAAATTTGCCTGAACTGTAACATCAAGCAAACTGTATATTGCCTTTGCAGTGCTGGCAGTCAAGTTTGCTAAAATGTCAAGGTGACATTTTCTGCCCAATCTCTGTGTTGGGTTGGTTTACCTGTACTTTACTTATGAACTTTCTTTATTTTTCTATCTGATGCAGTCAACTTTTAGTCACCTATAGGCAGATTGCCCTGGTGATGTATTAACAGTGCCATGGCTGTGGAGGCGTCTGAGCTTGCTTTAGGTGAGTAGTTTGGCTGCTTTGCTGTTTGAAGTGCTGTGATCAACAGAATTGCTAAGTTTTTGCAACTTAATTAAACTTTTGTCGTATCCTTTCATAGCCTAATAGAGGTCATGATATTTTCAACTCTTGATTAACCCAGGTCAAATATGTAAAAAGATTTTTTCTAAAGCAAGTAATCTCATTTAACTCTTGAAACACCAAAAGTAGAGGTTGGTACATATAGATTAGTTTTAATAGGGATTTCTCATTAACAGTCCACACCAATATATGAAAAAAATAAATGCACTGAGGTATTTTTAACATTATTTTTTGAAGTGGTATAAATAAATAGTGAAGATTGGGGAAAAAAGTTACTGGTTTCAAATACAGCAATAATTGTTTTAAAAAATCATTCTTAAATTATATTTCCTTTACACTTGTTTTGTTTCTATGTTATACTTAACTTAGGATATGCTAGCTGTGGGTCTTATTAGGTATCTGCCTTTTATATCAAATGCTTCTGATATTTTTCCTTTTTTTTCACCTTTTTTTTAAATACTCAAAAAAGCAAAAAGGAAAGCATTTAACAAGGGACAAGGACAATATATATTTCAAAAACCAGTGACAATAAAGCATTTTTTTAACTGATCAAATTTGATAGAAAATTCATTGTATGCTTACCTTTAAAAGAAAACTAATAGTTTAAATGGATTTTGTAAACAAGAAATTGGATTATTTCTATCTCTTTCACATTCACCTTGATTTTCCCATTTAAGATCAGAGCACGAGTCATGTTTACTCAACTGAGTACCTAACTAAGAATAATAGTCCCTGTACCTAACCTGACTCCTGTAAAATCCCGTCAGTGTTCCACCTTGAGACTAAAACTTTTCATGACCTGTCTTTTAATTTTGCCACAGGATTTTGTGTCCAGTTGCATTTCCTCTTGATTATGCCTAATCCAGCTGTCTCAAACAGAACTAGAAAACTTCACATGCCCCATCTTAGTGAAACCTTTGCCTTCTTTTGTGAGGAGAAACTCTATCAATCAAGATATTAATTCAAGAATAGTTTGTATATGCATTATCAGTATTTAAGGCTCTTTACTTACTATTGAAGTATGAAAATTAAACAAAATATGGAATACAAGTAATATGAAGTAATTTTAATTAATATAAAGTGCTTTTTGTAAACAAGGTCGTGTAGGTTCTAATAGCTGGCTAAGCCTGCATTCTTGTTTCTCCTGTTGTGCCCTAAACAGAGGAAGTGCTGATATGACCCAAACAATAATAAGCTAAGAAATGTACCAATGCTTCTCAAAAAAAACAAAAAAAGGCAAAGAAATACCAGAAATGACTGTAAACATCTTCACAACGAGGAATGTATCTTACCCATCATTTTCTTGAAAAATAAAATCTCTGTAATACAAGCACCTTAACCTCTGTAACACCATGTAAAGCAGGTAAAAAAATGGTTATTTTCCAGAAACTAACCTTCATGCAGTAAGATTTATTTGAGGAAATAACACTTTCCTTTGGAAATTAATCCCAGATTTTATCTTATACCATTGCTTTTCTTCTACTCACCACAGTAAGTAAGACATAGACAAACGTATGCAGGAGCAGTCTGTCTCTCCTTCCTCGCTTTGCCTTGCTGTTGCTCTCCTATCAGCTGTGGCTGTGCAGTCCTGCAGACACAGTGTGACAGGAACTCTGCTGCCTGGAGAGCAGGTACAGCTGCAGCTTTAGTGCTTGCTGTCTGCCTCACATTTGTAACACCCTCGCTCCTTCCGGTCATTCGTTCCAGGGGAGGAATGACACCAGCATTTCTGAGCTGTTCTTGTGTTTTCTCCCAGAACAGTCAGGGAAAGCAGACTTCGTGATCTCCATGCTAACTACCAGCCTGCTTGCTGCCAGTTCTCCCTACTTCTGCCAGTGATGACATTCAGCTTGCTCCTCCACACAGGATACAGCACTGATTCCTCATTATGTAAGGCAGTCTAGGTCAAGTGTAGGAGAGACACTGCTGGCCTGAGCAAGCTAGTGGATTGCTCCCTCAGCTTCATGGGGTCTGGAAGCTGGATCCTGATCTTTGCTACATCATCTTGGGTGAGTGTTTTTGCATGATTTAAATGGTTACTGTGCTGTTTTTCTATGCAGATAGCTGTCAGCCATGCTGTGAACTGCAGAGATAATTTGCTAGGTGAAACCAGCCCTGTCAGCATGATTGAATTAACAGAGTAGAACTTCTTCTAGGCATCTTAGCTTTAAGACACTTTCTAAATAAATAAATCATAAATTGGGTTTGTTTAACAAACATCTTTTCTAACCATAGTGGGATTAGTGTTAATTTGACTGATTAAGCAGTGAATTAAATCCATTTACTTGAAGATAGTGTGGGAAAACATTATTGGATATTGCTATTAGCTCTGAGAGGTTTACTGCAGTTCTTGGCTGTTGCATTGTTTCAGTCTTGCAAATTACAAATATGCTTCTATTATTAAACTAAACAAAATAAACAAAAAGGTATTTAATTTTCTTCTAGTCTATGGTTATTTTCTGAAGTAGCCATTAAATTCAGGATGCTATTTGCTATTTACTGCATGAATTTGTGAATCAAATGCTTCTGAGATATGTAAGGTGAATACTGCAGATAAAATTACATTTAGTGACTGCTCTGCAGAATGCCGGAACAGTGCATGTGAGCTAGATTTGTATGAGAGGGTAGCTTTTTTCATGCACCATGTAGAATTCAAAGACATTTTTTGGATATAAACCCTTCTGCAAATCAGTCTGTGACAAAGTATAGAACAGGTTTGTCCTTAAACGAATTATACATGGTGGGTATTGCCAGGTGCTGGAATGCCTGATTATACTGGAATGCAGCAGAAGAGGCCCTGGAAAGTAACAGCATAACACCGATACTGCAGTATCATGTAGGGAATTTCAACAAGGCTAGCTTCATTGCTAAGGAAAATTACTGCCTAATAAATCTGAAAATACTTTTAATGCATCTGTGAGATTAATTGGAACACTTGTCTTTATGTGCAGTACCTTGGACAGCAACTTTTTTGTTCTGTGGTACTATGACTCTCCTTCATGGGAGTCAGCAATTTGTAAAAATTAAATAACACAAATTTAAGATACATTAATAAATTCAAAAACACAGAGAAACTTAAAAAAAAAAGGGGGAGAGTAACTTTGGACAACATTGTATTTAACAGCTTACTACCATTTAATTTACTTTCATTTAATATTAACTTAAAAATAGTGGTGTTTGTATTGAATTATGTTAATGAGTGTCAAAACAGAAGATTAAAAATGCAAAATTATTGTCTATTTACAATATGGCATTTATAGAATTTTCATGTCCAGTAGGTAACTGCTCACTTTAAGAGTAAGTACCAGGGTCCCTTCCTTAGGTCAAAATAAGATTGGATATTAATATATGTTTATGTATTAATATCAGATTAAAAATAATTTTGATGGAAAGAATGGAAGCCTTTTAAATGTGTTTTTCCACCTCACAGGAAACTAGGTGTTCTTCACATTGTTCTAGAAATAACTGATAGAATTTAATTTCAGCACTTGTTCTGAAGTGAGATGTTTTATCAATTTCTTATAATCTTTGAAAACTCTCTTTCTCTGGAAAAGAACTGCCAAGCAGTCAATTGGCCTTACCTTACCAGTTACTAATTTACTTTTTTTTTCAAATGACAGTCGTATAAACCTGTGCTGTGATTCAGGAGAAATACCAGGCTGGTGCCTTCATTAATTGCATCGTGAAAGTTAGGTTCAAGAAAATGTAACTGATTTTCGGTATCTCGATAACACCTCTGTTGCAATGCAGTACATTACATTTTATAAGATTTTATAGATACCTTTTCATGTTTCAAAATACAAAAGTATGTCTTTCAAACAAATAATAGAATAATATAGAACTTAGAACAAAACTGCTAGGTACCATGTATTATTGTAATGATGTACTTCACATTCTTTGTTTCTTGCTGCATGAAGTGTTCTAAAATAGTTATGCTATTATGTATGAGTACACTGTGTTCCATCCCATCTCAAGTGTAGGTGCTTGAGGTATTTTCTTACAGACTCAAGGAGTATTAATAACCTATCTATTCAATTAGAAGAAAAAAAATACTGTCTTTAAGTGTATACTGATTTTCTGGAAGTGTTATTTTTATTTTTTGCATCATGGTTCACAGCAGGGCATGCACAGTACTTCTGTGCACAGCAAGCTGCAGATACTACAGTAGGATAGAAAGTGTTAGAAAATGGTGTTTCCTATGTGTATTTATATATCCTATATTCTGGTGTATCACTTTGGGTCTGAGAAATTGAATCTGAGCAGTAAAGTATGTTTTGAACCCACTACAATGTAGAATGACCCTTAATGGTCAGTGCCTCCTCCTGTTATTTTTCTGTGATTTAGTGGAATTGTCCAATCCACTACATCATTAGCTTGCTTTCAATGTTCTGTGTATTTCCTCAAATCACAGTATGCAGCTTGAGTTTCTGACAAACGTTTCACTTTTCCTCACAGCACTAGAGTTTTCTGTACTGCAAGGGGGTTACTTTCTTCCCTTCATAGTCATGGAAATGACACTAAAACTGAGGAGCGTGGAAGCAATATGAAAGTGTGTGAAATAGGTTATTTTTGAAGAATTTTTCTAGCATAAACAATGGTAAGACCAGTTTTTGTAATCCATAATGTAAAAAAGTATAGCAGTATACAGTAGACTGTTATTTTCTATAAAGGTATTTATATCTCAGATTTTATTTGCCTATTTTGAGTAGTTGAGTGATGATAATCATATGCTAAGTTAGTGCTAAATTGGAAGACTACAAAGATCTGCGTTTTAGTTTATCTCATGTAGCATCTGAATGTAAGACTGTAATAGTAAAATTGTCAAGCTTTCCAGGTAAGTTTGGGCTCACAAATGCAGATCTTGCCTTGTCCAGAACAGCTAATTTTTATTTGCATCTAGTACACAAAAACATTCCAAATGTGATAAAAATCTATTGCTGTAGAAATGGGCTTTGTCTGTTCTGAAGATATCTGTTTAGAAGCTGGCAGATGGGCTCTGTTCCCTGTGCAAAAAGTTACTATTCTTTTTATTCAGAGGTTTTCCTTGCTTTTCCTTGAGACTGCTTGGATGAAGTCTTCTGTTCTGTGTTGCTACAGTTCATCTCATTTTTACAGGTTCTGGTTTTCCATTATTGTATTTTTCCACCCTTAGCTGCCTGTATAGCACTTCTGTGACTGCAGTACAATTGGTTCACAAGTTTAGAAGGAGAAAATGTCCCCTGGATTATCACGTTTACCTGCTTGTCCATGGAGGAACTTGGTTGGCTCATCCCTCATATATTAGATGAAGTACTCCATTAGCTGTTTTCCACACCCACTGTAATTCATAAAATTCATTCCTAGAACACTAGAAAGAGATACTGTAAAGAATCAAGGGAGATGTTTTGATAAATAAAATATATCTCAGACACTACCATTAAATATATATATATTTATTGCTGTTAACACTTTAATAATTGTGTATGTAGAACATACTATTCTGCATTGTTGCTTATGTGGTTTACTGCCGCATATGAACATCTCAGCTTCTAAGGTCAATTTTAAAGGTTTCTCTAGATTGTACACAACTTTCTTTGCACCAAAAATGCTGAAACAGGATAGTGACAAAAAGGACTACATTCCCTTTTTTCTCCAGTTGCAGTTCATTATAGGTTTCATTCAGAAAGGGAATTGTGCTGCAGAGGGTCACCAGAGAAGAACTTCCAGATGAATCCTCTCATGTGCTTTAGAAAAACAGTATCTCGCAATGCCTGGTGATCACTAAGGCTCTTGAGCCAAAAACTTAGTGGGATGTTCTTCACCAGTGCTCTTAAACATTTACACAGTATTCCTGAGGTAGAGCCAAGACTGGTCAAAATTTATATGAGTGCAAGTGAACCACCGATCTCCATTAATGCAAAGTTACCAGGTCTGCAGAATCTGAAATGTGCAAGATTGCAAGCTCATGGCTGCAATGGAAAGTTTGTCTGGCAACTGTGTCCTTGCTCTGCAGGGCATAGAGAGGTTCTCCTTTGGGCCTGTTGGATGGTTGCTTCAGCCCTTGCCCATTAAGATGATTTATGCTTGGGCACTCAGGGAGGGAGTTGTCACCACACTTGCAGGAAGAAGTGCTCAAAAATTTCCAAACTAAATGCAATTTAATTTGCCAACTAAATGCTGTTTATTTAGAGACGGTAAAAAAAGCAAGTTGGATTTTGGGGAGGAGAGGGGAGGGAGATGACTCATTAAACAGTGTTTTACTTACTAACTTTCCCTGTATCTTAGAACTGGAGAAATTGTGATTGAGAAACCTTTTTTGTTTTCTTCAGCTGTGGTGCAATGTATAAGTTGAAAATATTAAATATATAAGAACTCATGAGATATAGCTCTTTAGCAGTTGGAAAGAAGTTGCTGTTGTGTTGATGAAGTCTTCTCTCTGAAACCCCATATGAGATGACAGTCTGGTTTAAGAAGCCACAAGAGGAACTTGTTAAGATGACCAGAGACCCTATCCATTTTCTTGACAATATAAACTGCTGGAGTGAATTTGAGCACCTGGTTATACCACTGTGACCAGTGAAATCTGAGGCATGAGAAATGCTGCTCAAAAAAAAAAGCTTCTGTATTCTGTTTATTATACTTGGAGATTTCTCAAAGTCAGTGGTCATATTAAGCATCCTATGCTGAACCTCTACTGATGCTTAAAGCAGGATATCTTAGTTCATTCATTCCTGGTTTACTGTTTAATTTTGTGTTGTTTGTTTTATTTCAAAGTGCAATGTTTTAAAGGAGCTATGGCTGTAACATGTCACACATGCCCAGATTATAGCAAAGACTGGAGGAACTCATATTAAAACTTCAAGCTGAGAAGCAAGTATTCTACCTTTTATCTGAGTCTGTGTTTATAAACACCAGAAAATGCAGCATTTCCAGAAACATCCTTCGTTAACAGACAAATTTCTGTGAATGATCAATTGGCATCAGCAATAGTATCTGAACATCCGTTTAGTATTTAAAGTTTTTAGGATGATTCTGAGTGCTACAAGATAATTTCTCACCTGCAAATGCTCTTCATGACCCCAAAGAATTTTGTGAATATATGGAAAAAGGAAAAATCATCCTTTAGAATTATACCTAAGAAAGCATGAAACAGTTGAAGAGTGTGTTACCAGCTGATAATAACAAGGTAATGGTTTAAAGAAGGCTCTTTCTACCTGAAGGTCATAGACTTGAACTGCATTGGGCTAATGGGGACCTGTCTGAGCAGCCTACCAGTAATGCCATCAGAAAAGCTAAATTCAAAACTGGTGATCATGGCAGCAGTGAAAGATGAAAGCATGGGAAGCCGTTCTAAATCAGACCTCGGGCGTATTCAAAGGAGACAGGTTGCATGATTGTGTCCAGTTTGGTCTTGCCCTTTGTATGTCAGCATTTGAGTACAAGTATTATGGTATATTTTATTATGGTTTATACTATTATGGTGTGTTTAAACTAAATATTTAGTGTCATAAGCTTGCTTGCTGTGTCCTTTTAATCACTGCAATATTTGAAGAGAAAATATTTAAAATTTTGTGAGATTAGATTTCATTGTTAGAACAATTGTGCATAGCATTCTGTATTGATAAATGCCTGAAAATTAGGTGTTATACTGAGAGATTCTAAGTGCTTCTTGTGAAGGGACAAGCATGTCAGGTCACCACTGGGAGGTGGAGAAATTCACATTCACATAGTTTGGATTCAAGGAAAATTTAAGCAGTCAAAATCTCATGATGTAAAAATGTTAGAAAAAATCTATATCAGAACAATACTGGAATTGACTCTAAGGCATCAAGTTCATTAAAGCTGCCTGGGATCACTGAATCAGAGGCTAATGTTAAGTATATTTTATATCATAGATTGTAGCCTTATTGCATGCAGGTATGAATTAGGTTTGTTTTCTTCTATCTTTACATGCAGAAATGGTATTAAACAATGAAATAATTGCAGTATTACTTTTAACCCTTCCTCTGTGCATCTCTTACCTTCTCAGTCACTGCCCCCTTCCTTCCTTTCCTACCATACTGCACCCACCCCCCTCCAGCATGGTGGACACTGGGGTTTTCAGAAGTGTTTGCTCATGGTCATCCTGACTTTTTTGTTTGTGGCTTGTTTTTTTTTTTTTTTTTGCCACAAAGCAAAATGAGAAATATATAATGCCATCTGATTTTGCTCAAACTGAGGCTGAGCCAATGCAGATGGAGTTCATTGTGTTAGCAGTTACTGTTACTTAGCAGGCTGAATTTTAAAAAGGAGCATTTTTTTGTCTAGGTTCCAGATTTGGCTGCGCAGCTGCCATCTGAATACAGGGAATGTATAGAGCTGACGTGGCAGTCGTGTACCAGGCGCCGTGATTAGCAGCGCAGTCTGTAATAGATGGACACGTCACGGGACTCGGGCGCAGCAACCCTTTTTCTTTTTTTGTGATTGAACCCGTGACTGATGGTGTTGAATCTACCACCACTACTCAGTGAGGAGGTGTAAAATGAGACAGAGGACAGGTAACATTTAGCTGTGGCGTGCCAGGGGCTGACCTGGAAAGGTGTCTAGTGCTTTTGTAATGGCCGGCACTTACCCAAAGTATTTCCTTTGCACGATTCAGAGACAAGTAATTAACAGAAAAGAAATGAAAATTACTGAAATCTCTAGCCTATTTAACGCTGGATAAAGAAATCTACTTCTCAGTGCAACTCCTGCCCTTTGTTCCTCGCTGAAGGAAAACGGGGTTGCAGATTTTCAGACTCGTTTAAGTCAGAAAATCACCTAAAAACCGATCTTTTACAGCCAGTTCTTTGATTTTGCCGATAGATGGGGCTGTTCTTTAAGGTGATGGCTTGGTATCTCCCCCCCCCTTTTTTTCTTTCTTCACTCTCCTCTCTATCTCTCTTCACCCTCCTCCCATCCCCCCCCTTTTTTTTTCCTGCAATTTGCTGATTTGTATTAGGTGCCATAGAATGAGCCTTAGAACAGGAAGCCAAGAATGAAGCAGAGAGGATACTGCAGAGGTCTTTTTTTTTCCTCCCTTCTCGATGAGAATGCAGCACTTTATAAACACTTTGTAATCTTTTGCAACTGAGAATCTGAACAAGTTTATTAGTATTTCAAGCTTTTCATTATGACTATCTCTTGATGTTTCTTTAATTTTTGTTTTCTTCATAATGCTTTTAAAATTCCCATTTTATCAGGTAAGCCAGCAGGATGTGAAATCATAGACCTTAGTGCATTGATGTGAGCTGTTGGCATGGATGCCCCCCCACCTTTTTCTTTTCTAAAATATTTTCCGAATGCTTCCTTTATAGTTCTTGTTAAGCATATAATTAAGGAGAAAATAAAATTTTGGTGTTTTTAAAAATTTTTCAAAAGCTGCAGTCAGTCCTTTTTGGCATCACAGCATTTTGTTACATTTGTAGGATTTCAGCAGCCTTGTATTTTTGGGTGTTTGCCAGTTTGTTGGGGGGTGATTTTGTTTGAATTATTATTAAGTATTTTACCTGAACTGTTTAGAAGGTAAAAGGGTCATGTTATTCCTTCACATGGAAAACACATTAAGGGCTTAAGCAAACATTCCAGGAGTGTACAGTT